GAAATTGGCCTCAATGATTTGGGATCGAGGGGGATTATCCCTCTTTATCCTGCCTCATCTCGTGTAGGCCTGGACAGCCTTCGTAGGTGGGCCCCATCCGTCGTCTACCCCGACCGCAAATGCGGCCGGTGTAGGCGCTTTGTGGGACCTCCTTTTGTCCTGGCTGGGCCCCGCCGGCTAGGGCCCTTTCTTCTGGCGCTCTTCTTGCTTCGCCGGTTCGTCTGTGTAAACCCCGGGGGTGGTGTCATGTTTATGGTTGGGTAGGGTGGTATGGCTATGCAACCTGGGATGCGCTTTGCTAAGGTGGCCCTTAGGCTAGCGCGGGAAGGGAAAGGTAAGGAGGGTATAGGGGGGTGTGTATGTGTGTGTGTGTGTGTCGTTGTCTTCGTTTCTTGATCCTGGCGGTCTCTGAAACAGAAAAGGTTAGCGGTCAGGGGGGGGGATGTCGTTGGGGTTATAGGTATGTGAAATCTGGTGATCTGAACATACCCTAATATTTTTTTGTTAGAGACTTTTAACTTTTATGTTTATGGATGTTCTGTCACAGCATAAGTATCAGTTGATATCTATGCTGTGGTTCTGTGATCTGATGGTTTGTAACACTGAATTGTAATTTTGTTTGTTTCACTTGAATTTATTTTAGCGCGATTTGTTTAGTCAGTACGTTATTAATTATTATTAAGTTTACATTAAAAATATGTGTTCTATCGAAGAAAAAATATCTGAATATGGCCAAAAACGAGACACTAATGCTCTTCATCAACTTATATCAACAATCAACGAAGACGAAGTAAATAATTTAAATTAATTTTCCATATAACCTAAAAAATTTTGTTTTAGTTAATTAATCTGGTTAAAAGGAAAATAAATAATGCATGCTTTATTGATACTTGGACATACATACTTCAGTCTTTTACAAATAATACAAAATGTCATAATAAAAGGTATAAAATGATTCAAGCTACTCTGAAAGAATTGGAAGAGAATAATGTGACAAACACTAGTAGTAATGCCATAATTAATCGATTATGCATAGAACTTCCAAAGTTTAAATCAGAACATTTGGCTGAACTCTGTACATTTTGTCTAGAATGCATACAGTTGAGGAAAACTATAAAGATGACGTAATATATTTTTCTTAATAAAATTTCCTGTTTTTACTGTAAAATCTATTTTAGATGGAAGGATCTGCTACCTGAATTGTTAAATATAATAGTTGAAAGGGATCGATTTGATTTTAATGACAATGAATATACTGGAGCAGAATATAAATCAGACTTTATAAACTCTTTATGTATGTCAACTTGGTCGCCTAGTATTGTTACATCTTTAATGGCAGTGTTCATGTGAGTTATAAATCATCTGATTAAAATAAAATAGTTTGTAAATTTTTCATTTACATTTGCAGAGATATGCCCTTAACAAAAGAAGAACATTTAAAAGTTGTGAACAAATTGGGAAGTTTTATAGAAAAAATGACTCCACAAGAAATTCCTGCATTTATACATCAACTCCTAAGATTATGTAAACAGTACAATGGAAAGTCTATATTTATAAGACTTCAAAGTTACTTTGGATTGCGCATATATAATAATGCGAATTTAAATTCTGATAGCTCAGAATCCAACGATTTTGATGCTATCGGTATGTATTATTATGATTGCTCTTCTTTTTTGAATCATTTTATTAGTAGTATAATAATTTTTAGAGAGTACTAATAATCAGGATACGATAGAAGCAGAAAGTACTGTATTATATCATATCCATGCTGCTGCATCTTTAGGGCATGAGTGCATTAAGGAATACTTATCATCTTTAAAAAATATTGTAAAATCACCAGAGTTTGTACTACATCCGTTCCAGCTTATGACTCTCTTCACAATATCTACCATTCCACATTATGAAGAAACAGTGTTCGACATCGTCCGACAAAGTATCGTTAGATATTATAACGAAGAACAAAAGAAACTTAACTCCTGCTGGTTTCGGGATATGGTGCCAACGATGAATAAACTAGAGGAAGTTTTTGGACAAGTTGTTCATTTCAGGTAAGTTATATAATTTATAAATCCCGTGAAAATATTTACATAACTGATTTTTTTTAAGTTTTGAAGATAGAGATTTGGTTCTGCAAGCACTTGTAGGTTTTGGATTTACCTTGCTCGGTGTTGGATCTGCTTTAGGTAGAGACCCTATAGCCGAGAAACAGTGGACATTAGGGAATATTATATTGCTGAAGATTATTAAAAGAAAAAGACAAATTGCTGCTGTTATAATACAATCTCTTTGTAACCACATAGTAACAAGACAAGCTGTTTCACAATATATTGGTATGTATATATTTCATCATTATATACCTAATATAAGTAGGTTTATGAATTTTTAGAATTATTATACCTCTTAAGTAGAACTTTGCCATTACTAATGTTGGAAAATCAGAGTTGCGTTGTGGAGTTGATGGAGAGCCTAGGGCAAATTCCAGGCAGTACTGCAAATCAGTTACTGGATGCTCTTATTCCTTTAACAAAGGTTTCCCCAACACTTCGTGACCATCTCATAATATTATTAAGGAAAGCATTATATTCAAGGTAAAGAGTAAAAGAAAACAAATAATATATGAGGTGTGGCTATAAAATAACGAGACTGATGCTATACAATTTTTTATTTTAAATTAACACATACTTAATTTTTGTCCCCTTCAATATACACTCCTCCTCTCTCCCTACACCTCTTCATGTGAATTTTCCAATGGTCAAAACAGTACTGAAAGTTTTTTCTGTGAGTTTATGACGTTTACCACTTTTTATTTCCCAACTTCAACAGTCTGAAATCTTGTTCCTTTTAATGCAGATTTGATCTTGAGGAACAGACAAAAGTCACATTGTGCCATGTGACACTGGGATGTTATACTTGGCTAGAAACGTCTTGACAGACAATGCAGCATAAGACAGTGCATTGTCCTGATGAAGAACCCATGACTTTTCCACAATTCGGATCTATTTTTTCTGATTTTTTTCACGGAGATTAGCAAGAACTTCGCGGTAGTAATGCTTAACAATTTGTTCTTCAGGGCCCCAGTGAAGGTACACAATCCCATAAATATCGAAAAAAGCAATCATTGCTTTGAATTTTGTGTTGCTCAATCCAGCTTTTTTAGATCTCGCTGAATTTGGGCTCTTCCAATGCATGGATTGAAGCTCGGTTTCTGGATCATAAGTGAAAAACCAAGATTCTTGATCCCATGTTATCATTCTTTCCAAGAAGTTGGGAGTCATTTTCACGGGCATCTAAAGTGTCATTGCATATATTTGCCCGAGTTTCTTTTTGTTCAATAATTGTTGTGAGAATTTTTGGCACCACTTTTGCACAAATTTTTTGCATGTTCAAATTCTTGTGTAAAATTTGCCTTACGCATTCTTTGTCGTAGTAATAATAGTACAAATAGTTAATCAATGGTCAAATCGGATCATATTAGCGAATTTTTCAATATTTTTATCATATTTTGACACTGAGGAGCTTTCCGGGCATGCGTCATCTTCAACATTCAGACATCTTGGAATCGCTTGAACCATTCAAAAACCCACGCACGTGATAAACATTCATTGCCATATACTTTTCTTAATAGAAAATAAGTTTCAGTAGCAGTTTTTTCAAGTTTCAAATCTTATACAAACGAAGGCCACAGCCATGTCTGCAGACACTGTAAAGGTGGTTTGGGAGGCTTCAAGCTACACAGTAGTTGGTCATACAACTTTGGCGCATGCGTAGATCGTCTGTAGTAGCATCAGTCTCGTTATTTTAGAGCCACACCTCGTATAAGATTCATGAAATCAAATATACAAATTTACAGGGTTACAGAAACAAGGCAAATGGCAGTAAGTGGCTTCCTAAAGCTATTGACAAATTTGAAAATATCTAACATGGCTGTTCTGAGTCAGTCGAGTAATAGCACAGGTTCATTTTCTTCCGGGCACTCGCTGCTTACTCAGATATCGATGAATAGAACTACACAGTCTATAGGATCTAGTACGTTCAGCAACGAGGCATTGTGCTTAGAAGTGTTGAGCATTTTAAAGCGGTGTTTTATGCAACAAGTTGAAGTACGAGCCCAACTATATGAAGGTTGTTTATCACTTTTCTATCAATACTTAACAATCAATAATAGACAAATTTTAATTTTACACACATCTTCCAGAATTTATTGAAAAAAAAAAATGTATGCAGTTACCTAATTAATTGTAGGGCTATATGATGCAGTTTGCATGAATCCAGAATTGGGTGTCCCTATTTTGGATTTGATCTGGTTTCATTTTAAAGATTATTATGTTATGGATGAAGATGTTCTGCCTCCTCTGAATTTCAATAAAATTGCCGTGACAAGAGAAATGGAATCTGCGTTACAGGTATGTCAATTTTCTCTTTCCTTGTTAATGTTCAGACCGGTTCCGTTTTGTCACTTGACGGAGTGACTCCTATTTACAGAGGAGATAGGAGAAAAGTAGTTAAGTTGTTTCAGTGTGTTTTTTGAGGAAAATTTAATGTTAAAGATCACCTTTCTTTAGTTTGTTGTTTAAGAGATATAAAATACTTGATTTTTGTAAAGAGAATTGCTTTTTTTGTATAAAATCTAAAGGAAGGAGTACACAGTTTATCTGTACCGTCTAGTTTTTGAGGTATATCTTAAACTCAATGCGGACTAGAGTAGCTTTCCCAACAGCCGGTCCATTGGAAGAATTGTCGGTACTCAGAGAAATAACATCAGTATATTTTTTTTCAAAACTTAACTGTAAGGAAGAAGGAATATTAGTAAATATGCGGATATCTGATTTATTTACAGAAATTATTAGCATTAACAACTGCATAAAAAGAAGCACTTATTGCCCATTCTTCTGATATAACACAAGTATCAAATGTAAATTTGAAATTTTGGGACAGTTCTCAATTTCAGTCAAAAATGATTATTCAGAACTGAACGAGAAAGCTAGAAAGTTCTTGTTAAATGTTTCCGCTATCTGTTTATGTAGAAAAACATTTTCTGCAGTCTCAATTATAAAAATTCAGAATGCAGAAGCTGATTTGGTTGAGATCCCCCATTGCTTCTTGCAAAAGAAATTTGTGAACAAACAGCAGGGAAATTCAAGATCATTAAATATTTTGAAAATTCTACCACTACTTATGTTTTCATGAAAAAAAAATCAATATTTCATTTTATTCCAAAAATTTATCATTTTCTTTTTATTATTTTTCTTAACTTCATTAACGTTACCAAGTGCTTCATTAAACATTAGTAACATAATTAGAACTACTCATTTCGCAAAAGAAGCAATTTTTTTCTAAATAATTTACCTTATCATAAAAAGAACCCAGGACCTCTCGCTACCTCTAATAAAGTGCAAAATTTTTATGCCATTGAATTTTTTCAGACGTCATTCAAAATTATATTTCTAGTAAACAAAATCCTGGAATTTTTTTGAGATGCAAGTAGATCTAGAGTTATTTTACATTATGTGGCTGGTTTCATAATATTAATGAAAATTTTAAAAAAATAATATTAAAAATGTGAATAAAAGATATATTTTAGTGATCAAATTTTTAAAATATCCAGTGTCACCGATCTTCTGAGTTTCTCAGTGAGAGCAACGAGAATGGGATGTTTGCATAAACAAAATGTGTAATGTTTTGTCATTTAATACTATTCTACTTATGAAAGATAATATGAACCTTCTTATAAGCAATAGGCCCATTCAATGATATATAATTTTAAACTTTTTCTTTCATTTTCTGATAGTATTTAACCACCTAAATATATCTTCAAAAAATCAGGTCAGTAGGATTAATAATAAGTGAAATATTTAATTCTGAATTTATAAGGTCCTTAAAAAAGTCTACATTGCCGGAGAACAGTTAATGACGTCACGATACCGGCCACTCGGCAATCAAGTCGCGAGCAGTCGGAGAGATGTGTACATATTTGCCTATACTTTTATACCCATATTTTTAAATGTGAGATATATATCAAGTCTTGTTGAATTGCATTTTTCACACAACATATTTATTATAAACATATACATTTTGGGATTTTTCTCAATGACGTAAATGGTTCGCTTTTCTACAAATTCTTTTGCGTTCCATTTTTGTATAAATGTATCCAACATACTAGACTCGGTACTTGTGGATGTATGCGACAACGTGTATGTGCCAGTAGTACTTTGACTAGTATTTGATGCAACTCAGAACCACCCTCGTTTTTCTTTGGTTGCCCGTCTAGGGGATTGCAAAATATTATTATTTAAATAAATTGCTTATAGGTCCCTCTCGCCGATGTATTTACGAACTTTTAGATGGGGTAGAATTTTTTTTCCGGCATAAGTTGAAAATTCTGCTCTAAATGTTCAAATAATATTTTACAATCCCCTAGACGGGTAACCAAAGAAAAACTAGGGTGGTTCTGAGTTGCTTATAGGTCCCTCTCGCCGACGTATTTTGAAATTTTTTTGAACGGGAATGTTTAGATGTAGTAGAAATTTTTTTTTCGGCATAAATTTGAAAATTCTGTTTTAAATGTTCAAATAATAATATTTTGCCCCTAGACGGGCAACCTAAGAAAAATGGGGGTGGCTCTGAGCTGCCTCTCGCCGACGTATTTCGAAATTTTTGTGAACATGAACATTTAGTAGGGTAGAATTTTTTCCGGCATAAAGTTGAAAATTCTGCTCTAAATGTTCAAATAATATTTTACAACCCACTAGAAGGGCAACCAAAGAAAAACGAGGGTGGTTCTGCGTTACTTATAGGTTCCCCTAGTCCTTCTGCTTTAATTTTTTTATACGCGAGGTGCAATAAACATGCAAATGTAGTATAAATTTCCGCCCACAATTCGGTGATCTGAGCTCCTCCATCTCAAAGATGATTTCCCGCTGGTCATAAACCATGGGTGGGGAAACCGGGGATAACATCACACAAACATTTCATTTTTTGGTAATGAAATAAATATTTTATTCGGAGTCGATACTGAGGTACTTTTGCAGCCCTGGAACTATACAATATTTGTACAATCCTCGATTTCGACCCATTTAGACATAAAAACAATGATTATTGAAACTGTCAAGCGAACCATACTCCATGTGTATTAACACGGAGTGAGACGGGATTGACGGGAGCGAGTGCTAGCTTGAACATTAGTGCTCTGCCAGTCGCCCGTACCGGTATTATGACGTCAGGCAATGGCTCCTCAGCGTTTTTCCACGCTCACTTTTCATTAATTTATTTCACACATTTCTCTTTGAAACAAAAAATTGATTTTTGGCATACTAACTAATTAAAGGGTAAACTTTTAAAATATGTAAAAAAAAATTCTACTGAATTGGCCTATTTTGCTAATAACCCCTTTTTCTATTTGATTTTAAAAATCTTGTTATTGATTTGCATTGTGCTAAACTATAGATATTTTGTTAGAGAAACTTTTTATTTGTGTAACTCCTCTCTGTCTCTGTTATTAAATAAAAGGACAGTGGTATGAGATTTTAGTTGAGCTTGCTAATAGATATCGCAATAAAGGCATAGTCTAACACGTCACAGCTGTTCACCAAATTCGTTTCACTTTTATATTTTGTGGTAATATCCGTGAAGCTGTTGAAAGTTTCATTGGGTATGTGCATGCAGCTAGCTTTCCCTATAGAGCATCTCCAGCAGTGAAGTATGAAAATTACGGAAAAAATGTAAAAAAAAATCTACTTTCATGATAGAGCTTGCAAAATAAATTTATATGTTTCTAAAGGTCAAAGTTATATCTTGTATATTCAATCGATAAACATTTATCTTATTTTTGAGCTTTGGCTCCTTACATAGGTCTGTGTTAGACTTCTATACAAGAAACTGTGCAGAAAACTTTAGAAAACTCATACTTTAATGTATGAAAAGAACGAGAGGCCCAGAAACAAAATGACAATGAAAAAATCTAAAAATTTGTATTTATTAAATTCATAAATTGATATTTTGTTTTCTTTTTACCAGGAACCGTTGGGGAAATTAGTATACTGTACAGGACTAATTGTCACAAAAGTATCAGAGTCAGAGGAGGATAAAGAAAATAGCACCGTTATTAAATTTATCAATATTTTAGATTCTTTGTGTAAGAGAATGATAAATTGTGAATTAATTCATTTGGAATTGGTGAGTATAAAAACAAAATTCTGATGATAGATGTGTAGTGAAATAAATATTTCTAGGATAATGGGACAGATTTATTGGACATCATTCCAGAATCTCAAGAAAAAGTTCACATTCTAAAGGAGGCGATGACTGTGTATGAAGCATTGATTGGTTATAAAATATGTTCCTGGAATAAACAGTCTGAAAATCATGGACAAACCATTAACAGCTTGTTTCAGGGTTACAACAGATTGCTCCATTTTGCGAAGGTATGAATATGGTCGTTTCTCATTTTTATTTATTTTTTTTTTCGTTTTCAGTTTTCCTCAAAACTTTAATATTATTTTGAGGAATACCAATGAAACGTGATAAAAAAATTATAAACTCTATATTAACCTCATTTATATTTATATAAAATTTAATATAAATTTCTCTTATGGAAATAACAAAATAATAATAAATATTTTATGCTCAATTCTCGGTTACAAAATTAGATGTGTTTCAGACCTTGGCAAAACCAAAAAAGGGGGATGCCAAAAAGAAGAAACTTGACAAAACAACACAGCAAACACAATCTGACGCAACGCTGAAGAAAGACAAACAGAAATCGTCAAAACAACTTAAGATTCCCGATACTGTATTCAATTTTCAAGTTATTAAAAGGGCTTTGATACTATTGCACGAGTAAGTGATCTGAATAATAGAATTATTAAATAATTATCAAGAACGTATTTTTAGGCCCGTTATTGAGTGGGTAACAAACGTTCATGTTGTGACAATCAAAACCAAATGCGATCTGCACCAACACGTCATGCAAGCTACAATTTTTCTAGTTCAAAATGTTAGGCGATTCAAGGGAATTGATGCACGTTATAAAAAAGCGTATTACGATTACATTACTGATATCTCTAGTGTGATATTTTTAAGAATTATCAAGAGACTGAATGAATTTGTCGACTTTGACTGTACCACGGCAGTTTTGGCGATGGAATGTTTTCATATAATTTTGACCCTAATAACCAATCAATATAAAAGTAACCTGAAGTCATTTTTGAATAAAGTAGGTAAGTGTGAAAGGAAAAACTTATTTCTAATTAAAGTAAAATAGCTAATAAACGTCAATTCTTCAATAATTACTACTAGAGCAGAATTTAAAATTTTGCAGCTGAGATTAGTATCGATTCTCTTTTATTTGAAACGGGTAATATCAGATCTTTGGTTAAAAATCGAACAAAGAAATGCGACTTATTACTAGCATTGTAAATTAATTTTGAGGGATTTTTGTGTAAATTCAAGGCTCTATTGTGAAAAATTGTACACATTTGTGTACATACGGATTCTGCGTCGAAAGAACAACTCATCTTTTGATGCTATCCACAAATCGATCCAATTTTTCATATCTTCGTAAGTTTGGAAGTGCCGCTGAGCCAAGCCATCTTGCATTGATTGGAATAAGTAGAAATCTAATAGAGCAATCTGGTGAATATGGCGGGTAGAATAAGACATCCTATTTCAGTGTTTCTAAGTATTTTTTGAGTTCATGAGCAACATTTTGAAAAATTATATTGTGCCTTTGCTGAAAGTGTGGTTACTTTTCCTTCAATTCACGGCTCAAATGTATCAATTGTGTTCGATAGTATTCACCAGTGATGGTTTCATTCAGTTGAAGAAGCTCATAGTACACAACACCATGACAAGGCAAACCCTACGATTTTTTACGCTTAACATTATCATAGCATATCCATTTTTTTATAGCCAGTGACAATATAATGCAAAAAAACTATTTCTTTTTTTACCATTGAAGCAATTGTTCATGCTTAAAAAGTCGCCATTCAACATCTCTCAGCTTCAATTCGTATGGTATCCAATTTTCTTGATTTTGAATCATACCGAGTGCATTTAAACGTTTAGAAACTGTTGTGCCATCAACATTCAACGATTCAGCAAGTTTATCTTGCGTTTGACATCAATCTTGGTCAAGTAATGCTTCCAATTCCTCAACTTTTTCAGTTGACTAGGGCGTTCTTTGTCAATTGTATCGAAATCACCACTTGTAAAATGTCGAAATCAATACTACTATGTTTTTATTGATGGAGTATGTTCACCGTAAGTTTGCAAGGGCACTCGATGACTTTTAAGAGCACTTTTCTCTGAATGAAAACTAAAACTTCCTGCAAATGATTTTTGTTGGCTCGTAATTCGATATCTTCGGAGTTGAGAAAAAAATATGTTGTTTACAGTGCAGCAAAATTACATAATAAGGCCGGTGTCCCATGCATCCGAATTCCGATGTACGATATCCGAAAATGTTTTAATTCATACGAATGATAATATTATAATTCACATGCATCCGAAATTAATCTCATAGAAATCAATTGTAAAACCATGGAATTTATTACAAGATGAAGGTGAAACATTTTTAAATGACAACCATAGCTATATATCTTAGAAAATATACGTAGTATTATATTTCCTACATTCGACATTATAATATGACATTTATTTGACTGTAAATATACCAAACAACAATCATAGTATGTTAAAAACTTAAAATGTGAGGTTAAAAAACCTACGATTTTGGACAAAAGTTAAAATTATTTCTACTTTTTCCGACGTCATATGAATTTTAAAAATTTTGGATGAATATGAGCGGTAAAAGTTTGAATGTATATTAACCATGTATGATGATGTATATTAACACTTTCGGACCTTCGTATCGTCAGAATTCGGATGTATGGGACACCGGCCTAAAAAGTAAAACCTAATGACAGAGCTTTGACATGAATATACTTACAGAAGAGTCCGATGCGATATGACATAAGTTACCTACGCCATCTATTGTAAATTCTTCAAAATTAATTCACAATCCTAGTAAACAGTGTAGTTTAAAAAAATGTATTTTAATAAACGTTTTTACATAAATATATACACGTTTTCTGTAAAAATATTTATGGAACGTTTATAAGAATATCTATTTATTGGAGTAACTTGGTTGTTTTGCACAAATATGATAAATATGAAATTTGTTTTGTAAATAAAAGAATACCAAGTATAACACAACGTGTCAAAACTGGGGTATTTTACTCGTCTAGATTTAACAATATTATTATACAGGCTGTTACAAATTCGCTTCTCACTACAGGGATCTCGGAAACGGTAAGAGATACGAAATAGCTTAAATGGGGGCAAAGTTGCGTAATCAGGGGAACAACATTATGCCTCTAAAAAAAACAAGACTAAAATGATTAGTATCATGTTAGCCTTGATTTTTTAGAGGCATAATGTTGGTCTCCTGATAACGCAACTTTGCCCCCATTTAAGCTAGCTCGTATCTCTTACCATTTTCGAGATCCCTGTAGTCAGAAGCGAATTTGTAACAGCCTGTATAAACAAACAGTTTTTCCCTCCGAAGACCCCATTCTTAGAGTATAGGGTGTTAGTTAAAAAACTATATATACGTCTCGTTCTGAACAAATGAGAATATTGAAACTACATTTTATTATTATTATATCGCAGCGGTACTCACCGTTCTGCTGACGATTGATCCTAACTGTTTTCGAGATATTGCCGATGTATTTCTAGCCAGGGCATTAATTCGCAGAGTAGTTATTTATCGTAATATCATCAATTAAAAATTGTTTCGCTTAGTGGCGACAAGGCTTCCTGTAATTGTGACCACTCATAAATGTTAGTACCTTGTTATATCATATCTCACTAATATGTAGAATTATTTAAATATTTTTACAAAAGATGTTCACCCGTGTGCTTAAATTGTGCCATAATTTTTTAACATCCGGCATCTCAAATATGAGAGGGCAAATATTTATAAGAAAATTTGTTTAAATTTGGATGCGGAACACATTTCTTCATTTTTAACAATCTGTTGCGCTGCAGATACAGACGTGTTGACATGCATTCAAATAATATAAAAAGTGTGTCAAAGGCAAAAGTGATTAAAATTGAAAAAAAACAAATCTGGTACTTTCAATCCCTCAAAGAAATAAACTGGACGAAATTTGTTATTACCTATTTCTTTACCAGTATAGAAAGCAATGCTTGTATTAATTTAATTCCTTGAATTTCCAGCTGGAGAAGAAAAGAGTTTTGTGGCTCAGTTGACAACGTTTGTTGAACTGTATCAAAAATTATTTGAAACTGATGAAGAAGATATCAGCCATGATCCCGAAGTAAAGAAATTATCGCTTACCGTTATAAGCACTCTCAGCACACTCGCTGGTCAAATACCTAGTGACAGTAATGCCTTATCTATTCAGGTACAATTACACTTGTGAGTGCTAAGGATTAAAATAGCAGGTATTAATTAGATTGCTTTCTTTTAGATGTGCGAATGGTTGAAAAAAATTGCTTGTCAAAACACTGTTCCTAGTAAAGTTTCAAGTAGTTTTGTAAATCTGCTATTTGAAATGCACATAAAATATAAAGTTAGTTTGACAATTTTTGAACATATTTCTGTCAGCATTGGAGACATCACTGGTGTTTTATTAACTCAGGTAAGTTAAAATTTATTTATTTATTTCTTGTTATACAGGGTGTTTGGAAAAGTTGGTACAAGATTTAAGGAGGTGAAAGTACAATAAAAAATAAAAAAATTGCTATAAACATTGGTCCTATCATAAGTTTCATCAAAATCGGTTATAAATAGGGTTAGTTTTCTAACTACCCTTAACAGAAATTTTTCGAATTTTTTTTATTCCTTTGAATTAAGAGCAAATATTATTTTTTAATGAATTAGACTTTTTTTGAAGAAAAAATGTTTCTACTTTTTTTTTCGAATTCTGCGTAGTTTAGTCAGAAATAATTATTTTTTAAATAATGTATGGCTCAGAACAGTAACTTTTTTTTAACATTTTCACATAATAGGCATCTTTCATGGTGATAGTTTCGTTGTAATGATACTAATGATTGTCACTTTCGCATGATATCGTTTAAATTCTTATGTTTCTTTATCTTCTTAGTTGTGGTCTTTGTGCTTGACTTTGCATTTCACTCGATTTTTTACAACCATGAACCATCATGAGCAGACACTCTTCTTACACTCGCAGTGGGATTACGTTAAAAAAATCCTAAAATTACTTCATTTAAATAATGCCTACGCCTCCTTGGACGGCCAAATTTACGATATCTTGGAGTTAGGGCTCCTGATTCCATCGTTCTTGCATGAATTTTTTCCAAACAATTTTGCAGAAGGTTGCCCTCTATCAGGGAAACGATGCCCATACTCTTTTTGAACCGCCAGACTATTTCCATTACAGAAGCCACAAATAAAACGCATATCGGCATATTCACGGTTAGTAAAAGCATAAAGGTTCATGGTTGTAAAATGAATTGAATCTTTGTGCGTGACTTTTGCAAGCACAAAGATCACAACTAAGAAACGTAAGAATTTAAATGATAGCACACGAAAGTGACAATCATTAGTATCATTACAACGAAACTATCACCATGAAAGGTGCCTACTATGTGAAAATGTTAAAAAAAAGTTACTGTTCTGAGCCATACATTATTTAAAAAATAATTATTTCTGACTAAACTACGCAAAATTAAAAAAAAAAGTAGGAGCATTTTTTCTTCAAAAAAGTCTAATTCATTAAAAAATAATATTATTTGCTTCATAATTCAAAGGAATAAAAAAAATTCGAAAAATTTTTGAGGTTGACAACTTTCACCTCCTTAAATGTTGTACCAACTTTTCCAAACACCCTGTATATCTATCCATAAAGGCCTTTTAGCATATATTTATTTTTTTTTCAATTAGCAAATGTATTGCATTCTACTGATACTTTTCCTTGTTACATGTCTCCTCAATAATCTTTTTGAAATTAATTTTCTAACAATATTTATGGAAAATATATGATTGTTTTATATAAAATCTTAGATCTAAGGATTTTATTTAAATAAATAGGTATTTCAAGTATCTGGTACTTACTGTGTTTACTCTGCAGATGTTTCACATTCTTAGATTAATGCAATGTATGGTAATGATTTAACTAAATAAACATAAAAATTCAGTGACTTTGTATACAATTATTTCAACCAGTGGCAGAGATACTGGGAGACATTCACAAATTTTGTCAATTTACGAAAATATAGATATTTGCATAAGTAATAAAACATTTTTCAAAAGCTTTAAAATTCAATATCCCAAAAACTAAGCCATTTGGGATATAAGTTTCCTTTTAGAACGATATAATAAGCCACTCCTATTTTGATGTACTTAAATGACACCCTGTGTAAAACAAAAATCCATTTTCTGCAGCCATCTTTGATATGCCGTAGTTCCCTTACAATGCATTTTAGCATCTACGTTCATACGAATTTTTTTATCGATTTGAGATGAATCAAATGAATTTGTGATCCATTAACATCCTGTGTCATAAAAGATATTATTTTTTAATTGTGTTTCTTTTCTTATATTGTGATAATTGGCATTAAAATTAAATTTTTAGGAAGACCATGACGAAAATTTTACACTGATAAATGAAGGAACTGTACATGGTATACTTTTATCATTGTGTAATTATATTAAGGCAATATTGGAGGACACTGATGCTGTAATAGCACGTTTAAAATCAGAGTATAATATTTTGATATATCCTGGTGTAGAAAATGTTGAAAAAAGTAATATTTAATCGGAATGTAAATCACTATTCCTAATTAAAATATTTTCAGAAATGGAAAACTTGAGAAGGAAGGAACTGGGTGTTTGTTGTCAGCTTTGCTTCGTCGTTACCGTCTTAACAAATTTAAGTAATCTAGCTATCGAGTCGGGAAATGAATCGGAAGCTGTTTTTAAAAACGACATGCTTTTATTTTCCACACTAAGTTCACTTACCAAACATTTTGGAGTGAGATCTTCAAAAGCAAATTTGGCTTTTCAAAGAGCAAGGTAACTGAACAGAACTGTGTTTATTTTAAGTATCTAATTCAAAAATCATGGTTACAAAAACAGGTATTATTTAGTGTTATTCATTTTAGATTTGAGAGGTTGGTAAAACTAGCCGGCAAACAGTTAGCACCTGCGGTGTATAAATTTATCTTACATATAGATGAAAATCAAAGAAAAAAGGTGCAACCAACTCAAAAGAAGAAAAATATCGAATCAAGCACATTGAAAAGTAGAGTTCTCAGGGAGACTAGACTCATTCCGAAAGTTATATACGAAATAGAACAGTTCAGTAAAACTATCTTCCAGTTGTCAAATAAAACAAAAGTGGATTTAGCAAAATATATCGGACAGGGGATTTCAAGAGATTTCAGAATATCAGAAAAAGAGCTGAAACAAGCTTTGGAGGGTGGCGGTAATCCAGATGTAACAGTTAGTACTCAGTCTACAAGAACAGATGTAAGCGAAGAGGAAAATAATGAAGATGATGTCCGTGACACTAATGACAAGGAAGAACAGCCTCCCCCTAAAAAAAAATCCAGAACTTAACTTTTATTAAAAATTAAATCTGTTACATATAACTATTTTTAAATTTGTCTATAAATACTGTTAAGCAAACATGTGTTTTATTTATTTAATGTGTTTTTATTGTTAAGCAAACATGTGTTTTAATGATTTTACATGGTGGGCCACCAGTAAAGCCTCAGTCGCTAGGGACCAAACGGCAAATGTTTAGGTGGGTACGTGTAGGTTGATTGCGGCTACATTTTAAAAATATTTTGAAATATACAGAGTGTCTAGAAAAAGCATACCATATCAAAGTTATGTGTTTTTAAATGGAACACCCTGTATTTTCTGCATTTTTGAAAGCACCATAAAAAAATAGGTGAACTTTATAAAAGGTTCTGCATGCCTAGGACTTATTGTTTGTGAGATATTTCATTTTAGTGAAAATGCGGGCTTAGCTTAGAAATTTAATATTTGCAATAAAAAAATTATTTTAAGGAAGTGTATTTTAGATCCTTGAAATTATAAATTATTATATTTGTCGTCACTTAGTATTGTACAGGGTGTTCAAAAAACTGCTCAATACTTCTCTCAACTTTAAACAGCAATAACTTGGTATTTTTGAAATGGGACACCCAGTATATTTTTACTTTGGAAGTTAGAAAATTTAAAACTCAAACTGTGTATAGGTTCCCTATACCTATCTCTAACGGTATTGGAGATATTTGTGCCGTTTTGTTTTTTTATCAAATTTTTTTGTACAATGTATCCACGTGTCTTCATCGAGCTCTTTATTGAATTGGTTTGGGTTCTTCTTGATTACCTTTCTTTAAATATAAGGAGAAAGTTGAGGATGCAATTAAATGGCGCACCTTCAAATTTTTCATATTCAGTGAGAAATTATTTATATTGAAAATTTAGTAATAAATGGATAAGTAAAAATGGTGCATGTCAATGGCCATCTAGGTATCCAGACCTCATCTTAATGGATTTCTTCGTTTCGGGCTATATAAAAAATCTTGTACACAGTGTTTGATGATACGAAGGAAAAAATTAGAGATGCATTTGCTATGCCACAATCACCCCAGATATTCTAAGGAATGTGAAAATATCATTTGAAGATAGAACAAGATGCCATATTCAAGAGAATGGTTATCCATTCGATCATCAATTAAAATTTTTCTTTGTTCTAAAAGTAAAATTTCCTTTAATAAATAGTTTTCGTGTTCCTAATTTAATTCATTTATCTACAACAAACATATTTATACAAAATTAATAACTTTTTATAATTATTCTACTTATAAAATATTAATAGAAAATTTTCTTGAATATTGTCATGATTGACGCTTTACCAATTCAATAAAGACATGATATATCTCCAATACCGTTAGAGATAGGTATAGGGAACCTATACACAGTTTGAGAGTTAAATTTCCTAACTTCAAAAGTAAAAATATACTGGGTGTCCCATTTAAAATAACCAAGTTATTGCTGTTTAAAGTTGAGAAAAGTATCTAGCAGTTTTTGGAACACCCTGTATAATACTAAGTGATGACAAATATAATAATTTATTACTTCAAGGATCTAAAATACTCTTTCCAAAGATACTTCCTTAAAATTACTTTTTTATTGCAAATATTAAATTTCTACACTAAGCCTGCATTTTCACTAAAATTGAAATATTTCAAACAATACATAACTTTGATATGGTACGCTTTTCCTGAACACTGTATATTTCAAAATATTTTTAAAATGTAGCCGTAATGAACCTACACATAACCACCTAAACAGGTTTCTATAACATTTGCCGTTTGGTCCCTAGCCTCCGAGGCGTTACTGGTGGCCCACCCTGTATAAATATATTCCTACCACAATTTTTATTTGTACTTCTATAGTATACAGGGCATACTTAGCCGAACAGCAGACTCTAATCATTAATTAATAACAACTGAAAGTGCTTCTTTTTTGAGATGCGGGGTATCAAAAATTAATTAAAAGATATGGTTTATTCGAGTTGTAAACATGGGCGTAGCTAGAGAGGCAGGGATGTGCATGTCCCACCCCATAAAGCCTATTGCCCACTATAGAAAAAAAGATTTTAATATTATCATATCATATCGGTAAGTCGGTGACTGCATACTTTTTTTTTAATAAGAGGTGCCCAATCCCCATAGAGCTTTTTCTGATTTTTTTGATGGATATTAAGAGGCAAATTGTACACTAACTTGTATTGTACAAATTTTTAATGGTCATATTGTTTTTTAAATTGTATAAAAAATTCTTATACATTTTTTTCATGAAATGGAATGTTTTAGCAGTATTTTTAATTTATTTAACTGTATGATAATTTTACATCTTTCTGGATTTTGAGTATTTGTGATGTTTTTTAAAAACTTGAACATCCTTTAACTCACAAACATGGATGTAGGTAGGATTTTTGCTTGCGGTGGGCCTTGAAGACCCCGTTTTCAGACGGCTAGTGTGACCAAAAAGATAATATTACTGGATCGTTTTTATTCTGGGGTGAGCACCACGCTCTCTAGGGGGGGGGGGCATACCTACCTCTACCCCTCCCTAGTTATGCGCCTGCTTGCAAATGGCAGAGGTATATTTGAATTCTAACACAATCTATATTTGTAAAAAAATCTCTAAATATATGCATTTACTACGAAGCCTGGCGGTTAAAAATTACTTATCGCTTTATTCATTTTAATTTATCTTCGTTCTGGTTTGCAGTCATGCAACTTCTTGTAAGAATGTATTTTTCTACCAGAGAAAAGTTGTTAGAATTATACAAGTGAATTGGATTATAAAAAAAATTGAGGAACAATTCATTAAATTAAATATATTTACATTTCAAACCCAAAATTTTTAAACTTGAACACCCTATACTTAGATATTGAAGTGTTTGCATACACCATGATGTAGAGTCTACAGCATTAATGTTTGGTAAAGCATGTTAGTAGCACCCTGTATACTCTATATAAGTGAAAACTAAAAGTTTGTTTATAACATATTTGATTTTTGTCTCATTCACTGAATCTTCGTTGAAAAATGTAACTAATACTAATTATACATTTTTATACACTGAGAATATAATAGACATCAAAGAAATGAAAATACACCATCTTAATTAAATTTTATTTCATAAAATACAAATTATTTTCAATCTTTATTTTCAATTAGTTATCTTTAATGAAGTCTTATATCGCGTGTACAATACAAAAAGTGAAATTAACTGAACAACCGTTAAGTATATTTTTAAAGATAGTTTAACAACAATGTACTCAACACTTTAAAAAATCAATAATAAAAACCTGATACATTTGAGGTATGGAATTAACATGAAATTGAAGTATAGGGGTAGTGGCCCATACAGGTCATTAAATGAGGTTTACATGAGGTGAGGTTGAGGCTCTGTAAAGTGCCAGTTGCTATAAATATTTGGATATCCAATTTTTGTTAAAGTAGGTATTACTAAATGGGTTCAAAGTTATTTTATAATTTTACAGGCCCCACGTTGAGGTAAGTAATGGTTGTTCCACTTATAAAAACGTTCACTATTTGTATAAAAGTTTCAAGCGACAAAGTCTAGAGGTCTATTGAAACCACCTTTCCTATTCATGTACTGTCTATATTTTCTTTTTAATATAACGTGCACACCACCAGCATCGTTTCCCTCTACTTTCTTTCCCTTTGTTGTATCAAAGTTACAGAATCCCATTAATTTCATCATTTCTTGCTCATCTGCACTTTTACCTTCTAGATCTGCTGCTGTTACTACTGGTCTTTCTGGAAGTAATGATTTATGGCTTCTTTTTTCTTGTGATTTAGATCTACTTCTGGAACGTGAAAATCGCCTTCTGCCATCCCTGTCAAGGGAGTGACGTCTTCTTTCCCTGTCCCGTGATCTATCCCTTGATCTTTTCCTCCTGTGTCGCTCCCTCTCTCTATCTCTTTCTCGATCCCTGTCTCTTTCTTTATCCCTTTCTCTATCCCGTCTTCTAGAGCCAAAAGGGGATTTTGACCTACTCCTTCTTCCCATTCTATCAAACTAGAAAAAAATGTTTTTTTTATTACCTTAGAACACAATGCACTTAAAAAAAATCAAAAAAGTTTTTTTGTAATTTTTACCTCGTTAATTTACAACTTAAAAATAATTTAAAAACAAAATTTTGACAATTGTCAGATCAATACAGAAAAACGTCGGAAAATGTCGATTTTAGTTATTCTTTTTTACACTAAAGCGCTAGTGTTTCAAAGCTTCACTGCAGTTAGGCAAATTTGGATCTTATTGACAGTGTACATAAGAGATCGAATCTGAGGACCGGTAGAGTTGCCTCTCCACGATACAAAATGAAATGCGCCCGCGCATTCAGGCAAAGCTCGAGTGTTGGAGTTGTGTGCAGTGATACTGCCGTGGGTACGCGAATCGAATAATTAATATTTTTTGTGACCGAATTAAAATACTTGTGTTTTTAAACGAACTAGTTGTACTAACGACTGTTATTAATTTTATTAATAATAAGTTTTATATGTTATTTAAGTATTAAATGGGACTTGTGCTGTACTGGCTCTGGTGTCATTAGTGAGAACATTATTAAAACTGTCGGCAGAGTTCTCCTTAGCTCCGTTGTGATTTAAGGCCGGTGAACATTATTTTGGATTAGAAGGATTACAACGGTACGTAAATGTTTATTGCAATAATAGCACCAGCCTGATAATTGTTGCATGCAGTCATTGTTAAAATAGGTCCTACTTGGACAATGGTTGTCAGATCAGGGGTGTGTCACTCATTCACCTGTATTTTTTATTTCGTTCGTATTCTGTAGATATTTAGTCATTAATTATCTTATAATAAACCAGTGCATGCAGATGCATATTTGTCTTTATAATGCATATTGTCTTAATGCATTAAAGATTCATAAGTTTCGGTTACTTACATTTTGAAAAATATTTAGGAAAAGGGTAGTAAAAAATATTAGGGCAATGACCGACATAGTATCCCAGGTGCTTTATGTGAATTTTTTGATTGTGTTGTTTTTATTAGCGGTTATAAAATAAAATGGTTATACTCTTGTTTTTTCAAAGCGATAAAGCAGGTATCTCAAATACTTGGTCCGATAAAAGCCTGTATTTATTATGTAACCTAATAATATTTAAAGTAAATGACTTTAGTGATAGTCTTACCGATTACATAATTTAAATTTCTTAAAGGGAAATATTGCCAGACGTAGCACTGCAGTTATCAAACTGGTATTATAGAAGATGATCTCATCGTCATCTCCCAATGAAAGTTGTTTAGTACAGTTGCACAAAATGTGTGCTACGTAACGTAGGATTAATTAATTTGAAATTTGTGGGCCACGAAAAATATTCGGTAATTGAGTTACATTAAGTAGAATATGAAGAATAAATTAGAAATGCTTTCCTTTTTATGTTTTTATTTTCTTCTCATGTTTTCATTTTATTCTGGATAATATGTAGTTTCAAAATGGCAAAAACACAAGATGTGTTTAATAATTGATATAAAAATTGTATCTATCATTTAAAACCAGTTAAATCTTTAAACTATGCAATTATTATCGATTTTGGAATAAACACAAAACTAGGCAGTACAATTCCTTTTTTAATTGGTAACTTGGTACGTAGGTTCTTTCAGAAAGTACCTACGTATAGGTTAGGTATCTTCAATACTAACCAGAAATGTAGTTCTTGATTGAATGGTACATTGAGTTTCCTTAATAAAATGTAAGGAATAATCATTTTTCCTTATACTTTTGTTTCTGTGCGAGAATATAACACGTTCGGAAAATATTTAATAATTCCCTGAAACTGATTGTTAAATGTCAGCTGTAGGTGTATGCTCATTTATTCAGAAAACTGTAACCCATATTTAAGAAAATAAAAAAGAATAGGTAGATTATCATTTAGACATCAATCTACTCCTCATGTAAGGAATCATCACTCGTTTAATAAATCAGATTTAACTGTACTTGGTAATACATACATACTATATTTTATCCTTGGTTTTATCTGTCTATCACAATTTTCAATTAGCTATAGATAAGAGCGGTTACTTAAAACAGTTAGATATGCATTACTTACTCATATTTTCTTGATAACAATGCTATACGAAAGTGAATTTACTAGTCTCTATTATGGGATTTTCCAGGAGAATCTCGTTTAGGAATGTTTGTTCCTACCAGATACCTACCTAGCCAAGAATTAGTAGATACCCCTCATACTTTATTTCTTTTATTCTTTAACAAACTAATTTTTATTTGAACAACCAGAATGTCATAAAAATAAAGAAATAAAGAATAATAAAAATAAAAAAATTTATTTTTATTAAACCTTCAGTCTCGTTGGCAGTAACGAGTCTACATTTTTTTTTGTGCTTTCTAGACTTAAAAATTTGTAAAACATCAAATAGTGAACATGATTTAACTAAGTGTAATAATGTCGAAATAATTATTCTGTAATATCTGCATGCTTTGCCTAAAGGTCTTATAACATTCATCCCCAATGTGTTTGAACAAGGTTGGAAAGGAGAATTAGAAAAACTCTATTTCAGTAATGTTTAATGCATGAATATTATTTTATACAGACTTACTGTATAGGTACTGAAAAAATAATATTTTAACTTTCTTTGGAACTAAGTCAGTGTATTTTATTTGCTATAGAATTAATGATTAGAGTTGAAATTAAGTTACACAAAAAAAAAGGTTAAATGTTTTTCGGTAGGACTGATACTTTAATTTGTATAAGTTTATAAGGAATTTTAAAAAATATTTAAATTTATGATAAAATTATGAAAATGGATTAATTAAAAATATAAGTTATTCTTATTTACTGATCCAACTCAGCAGGATGCCTAATAATGAGCTTAATCGTAAATTGTCTGTAACCTCGTATATAGCATATACAATACACACACATTATATAAAACTTAAAATTTTCAATCGTTAATTGATTTTCTCAATCTTCAAGTATTTTGAAAAACAATTTTGTATTGTTTGTACAAGGAAAATTAACTTTACGTAACATTTAGTTAAATACAGACTAATAATAATTTTGAGGCTTAAATCCAATCTTGGTGACATACTCTTCGCAAAATTTGATTCTCCAATCTAGAAATATTAGCTTAATAAATTTTTTATCATTTGGATGTTAAAATATTTATTTAGAACATTTTATAATGTAGATAATTTATGTTTATCTTACAAGATAATTTGTGTTTCTTACGGATTATGGTCTTCTTTGGTAGTTGCGATTTGTTTAGTTGAAATTTTTTTAATTATTACACACTACTCGAAATTATGGATATGCCACTTTCAGACATGCTCTTTTTCACTTGAATACTGCTGCTGTATTTAAAATGGGAACTTGAAAAACATCATACGTAAATAGCTTCAGGAGGACATAGTTGACTAAATATAAAATCGAGTTGATTAAAAGAGCAAAAATGCTGGCTCTTTTATTTTTGTACCATTTTTAACTCCTTTCGAGATGATCAGTTATGGCTCTGTTTTATAAGGCGGGTAGAAAATTGAATTTTAGGGAAATTTTCAAGAGATTGGAAATTGGTGAAAGTATTGTTTGTAGTCGCGTGGGATATTTGTGAAATAAATTATGTAACAAAAGCTGGGAAGTAAATCGTTTATTATTCCGTGAGTCATTCTTAAAACATAATTATATCCTTACGTTTTAAGTTTACGTAATGTTGAAGGTGTTGCGGCAAGACCAAAAAAAATGCTAATATGGTTCTCAGAATACAATACAGTTCTTGAGTCGTCATGATTACGTTGCGAAACGTTTTCACATTAAAGATGGTAATTTATTGATGAGATGAATATAGATTTTTTTAAATTACATACGTAATCTGATTTTTATTCACTTTTTAGTTATGAAATTAAAATATAATTTAACGTTCTATTCGCCGGTATTTTATCAAATAAATACTATTTTTTAAATTATTTGGAGTTTTATTTATGTGTGCAATTTATTCAAAGAAACCTACCACTTACGATTTATTGTCTTCAGCTTCATCTTTTTAGGTCCGGCTGCCACAACGTTCTGGAAGAACAAGTACCTGCCTCACAGATCATTAGAAAAATTTTGTGACACAGTATACTCATAAGGTTAAATATATATAAAAATATCCAGATAGAACTGTATATTATATAAGTTAATTAATGGTTCTGGAGTTACACTGAAAGATAAGAGAAAGTAAACATGTCTGCTAGTAATAAATTAAAAATGTTATCCGAGGAGAGCTTGACAAGACAACCGGAGGAAGTGTTCGATATAATTTGTAAGCTGGGGGAGGGATCCTACGGCAGCGTCTATAAGGCCCTTCATAAAGAATCCGACAACGTCGTGGCTATTAAACAAGTGCCTCTAGATACGGATCTACACGAGATAATAAAGGAAATTTCCATTATGCAGCAATGCGACAGTCCCTACGTAGTAAAATATTACGGCAGCTATTTTAAGAACACGGACCTTTGGATAATCATGGAGTACTGTGGGGCAGGTTCTGTCTCCGATATTATCAGATTGAGAAAAAAGACCTTATCAGAATGCGAAATAGCCACTATCTTATCCGATGCGTTGAAAGGTCTAGAATACCTTCACTCGAATAGAAAAATTCATCGTGATATCAAAGCCGGCAATATCCTACTAAACACCGACGGTCATGCGAAACTAGCAGATTTTGGAGTAGCCGGCCAGCTAACCGAAACAATTTCCAAGAGGAATACAGTTATCGGCTCACCGTTTTGGATGGCTCCAGAAATAATTCTCGAAATAGGATATGACTGCGTGGCCGATATCTGGAGCATAGGAATAACGGCTCTAGAAATGGCCGAGGGAAAACCTCCCTACGCGGATATCCACCCAATGAGAGCCGTCTTCATGATACCGACCAAACCGCCGCCCTCCTTCCGAGATCCCGACCGTTGGAGCGCCGAGTTTATCGATTTCGTCAGTGTTTGCCTAGTGAAAAACCCGTGCGACAGAGCGTCTGCAACCGACTTAATCCACCACGTCTTCCTTCAGAAATCTAAAGGCCCCGGCGCCTTGAGCCAAATGATAGCCGAAGCTTGCGAAATTAGAAAGAATCAAACGTACAATCGAATGCCCTTGGTTGCCAAAATATTGCCCGAACAAAATGAGACTGAAGCCACTTTAGTACCAAACAAACCTCAGAGCCAAACTGGTACGATGATCACATTGCAGTCGGATTTAGGTACGATGGTAGTCATTAATAGTGACGATGAGGATGGAGAGAGGACGATGAAGAAGGAAGAAACGAAAAAGTATAAACCTCTGTTCCTAGAACATTTTGATCAAGCCCAGACCGAAGCTGAGGCCCAGAATGAGAGAAGTTCTCAGCAATTCGGTGAAGCCAGTTCCTCGACAGTTACAGGTGAACATTTAGCTCCACAACCTCGACAGTCTATTGGAATTTCGGAGCCGTTAGACGTTAAGCTGCAGCGGATTCGACCTGTAGACTGCGATTTCAGTTTCCTGAAAGATCTAACTTACGAGGAACTGAAGGAAAGATTTGACTTGCTTGATACTGCAATGGAGAAAGAAATTGAAGAACTACAGAGACATTTTGCTTTAAAAGCTCAACCGCTGGAAAATGCAATACATAACAAACGAGAGAGGAATAG